ACACATTAAGGATCTCATTCACTTCCTCTGGTTCCACACATAACCTCCCTCCTTTATCCTTGAGTTGGCCTACTCTTTCCTTAGCTACCCTCTTGCTTCTAATATATGTATAAAATGCCTTGGGATTCTCCTTAATCCTGCTGGCCCAAGAATATTTCATGGCCTCTTATTAGCCCTCCTATCTCCCCATTTGAGCTACTTCCTACTTTGTCGATATTCTTCAAGGACTTAGTCTGTTTTTAGTTGCCTAAACCTTAGGCATGCTTCCTTTTTGTTTTTGACTAAGCTGATAATTTCCCTGTCATTCTAGGTTCCCAAATCCTGTCATTCCTGTCCTTCATTTTCACAGGGACTTGACTGTCTGGCACTCTAATCTATTGGTCTTTAAAAGACTCCCACATGTCAGATGTGTTTTACCCTCAAACAGCTGCTCCCAATCCACTTCCTGGGAGACTGATAGTGGCAGGTCCATGTCAAATGGAGGGAAACCAGAATGTTCTGATTCAGAAGATTAGGAGAAAGACACAGCGAACTCCCCCAAATGCTATCCAATTCATGATGAAAATTGTCTTCCTGTGTGACGTGTGTGGGTTTCTTCAATGAAATGTTTATTTATGGTGATGGATTGAGTTTTCATTGTGAGACAGAAGTGATCTGGGTGAATTGGGAAATAAAACTTTCCCAGAGCAGAGAGAGCTCATTGGTCCAGAATGGCTCTTGCATCTTCTGTTTCTTTCCTGTTCATTCACATCTCCTCCTGTCTTTCAAAATCCTCCCTCTTGTGATTGAATTTCTCCTATCTTTCACCCTTTCACCAAAATTCCCATTTGTCAGGGGAACCTGTTCCATCTCTCACTTTCGCCAGTTTTGGTGGAAGGTGATTGAGCTGAAATGTTATTTCTCTTTCTCCTTCCACAGATGCTGCCTGCACTACTGAGTATTTGCAGCATTTTCTGATGTCAAGTCAGGAGTTATTCTTTACCGAGGACATTAAGGATGGTCTTGTGATAGATTGTAAGGCAAGAATGATTAGCCGACCCACGTAATGAGTTGCTAGTCGAGTTATATCAACTACTCACTACCATCGTCTCAAGGGTTCTTGGGATCTGGAAATGAATACTGTTATCAGAGGCACTGACATCCCATGGTGTTAGTTAAATAGGCTGCAGACGTCAAATGGTCTCATTTACATAGAATCCATATTACATAGAATCCCTACAGTGTGGAAACAGGCCCTTTGGCCCAACAAGACCACACCGACCCTTGGAGCATCCCACTCAGACCCATCCCCTTATAACCCACCTAAGCTACACTACAGGCAATTTAGCATGGCCAATCCACCTACCATGCACATCTTTGGATTGTGGGAGGAAACTGGAGTACCCGGAGGAAACCCACACGGACATGGGGAGAATGTGCAAACTCCACGCAGACAGTTGCCCAAGTGTGGAATTGAACCCAGGTCCCTGGCACTGTGAGGCAGCAGTGCTAACCACTGAGCCTCTGTGCCATGCCCGACTCTGGATTAACAATGCAGTGATAATACCACTAGGCCATCTCCTCCCCTCCTCATTCTGACCATAGTTTATTGTGTTTCTAATTCAGTATCAATCCCAGTTAAAACACTAGGTAAAGTGAATTGGTCTGACTGAACGGTTTGAGGCAAGCCATTGGTGTTTCAATCTCTATGAAGGTGTGGAATGAAGTCCCACTGCTGTCAAGTTTCAGGTTAGTTACTAACTGGGCACTCTCAGCATCCTCTTCTGGATTCTCACGCAGCGGCAGCTGCCTGTGGGGCTCCCTCATGGCAGAATGAATCAGGTGACGGGTTATACATTGCCAGGTGACTGGAAAATGGCACTGACATGACTAAGCAATTGTCCTTTATCTCTGCTGTGATCACTCCCTGATTGAAATGCCAACAACACTGGTATAAATACAGGCTTGACATCATGGCCAAAGGATTAAAGAGATCTATTGGTGATCCCTTGTGATTTCCCAGCAGAGGTTTCAGAATCACAGCATTATTATTGTACAGGTGATTGCCGTTTGGCCCAACATGCCTGTACTGGCTCTCTGAACATTTTTAGTTATTGCTTTATTCCTATGACGTTACTTCTCATTATTTATAATTATGCAATGCCCTCTTAAATGACTCAGTTGAACATCTGTTGTGTAACTTCTTGTTAAAATGTTACAAAGAAAGTGTATCAGTAGAAAAAGATGAAGAGGACGCTTTTACCACCTTCTTTCAGTTCGTGTTCAGGGACAGGTCATAATGCCCAGTGTATTGATTGGAGCAAATACCAATCAAAATTGCTGTTTCAAAACACTTTCTGCACTGTAAGTTTCTATCGTTTTCCGTAACCCGACATCGCAGTTATCGTCACTGTTCCCAGAGTGTGGAAGCAGGCCATTTGGCCCATCAAGCCTACACCGACCTTCCGAAGAGCACCCTGCTACTCTGCTCTCTTGTGTCACTCTGCATTTCCCATTGTTAATCCAAGTTGCGTGCACACCCCTGAACACTATGGGCAATTTAGCGCGGCCAAACCACCTAACCTGCACATCTTTGAACTGTGGGAATAAGCAGAAGCACCCAGCGGAAACCCGCGCAGTGGCGGGGAGAATGTGCAAACTCCACACAGGCAGAGACCTGACACTGGCATTGTGAGGCAGCAGTGTTAACCACTGAGTGTCAACCTGCCGTCAGGGCAAACATCTGCACCACAGAAAGCGAATTGGACACTAAAATCAGGGAAGGTGAGAAATGGCGGGGCTTACCATTCTGCTGTGACTTCAGGACACAAAGCTGTGTCAATATTGCGCAAATAAAATTGCAGAAGATTTGCAACAATGCATGTGACCATTCGACCCATCGTATCTGTGTTGAATGGCGGTACCAGCAACTCAACCTGTCTCACTGCCCCTTTTCCTGCTCCTCGTGCAGTGTTTATTTGTTTTGTCGCTATTCTCAGATGAATTTGGAATTTAGGTTGGGAATGCGTGATGGATTCATTAAATAGCAGAGCAAGCTCGAAGCTCTTCGACTATAATTTGTTACAGTGATACTACCAGCGAAAACAATAATAAAGAAGGCGCCGTGTCATGTTGCATGGCTGAGCAGTCCAAGAGGTTGGATTAAGGCTCCAGTCTCTTGGACAAGTGACGTTTCTTTCGCTTCTCAGCTATGGATTTTGCTATGTTTTATTTTAATAGGCGGAACAAGAGGACACAATACATGTACAGGCTGTTGGGGGGAAAAGAGGCATACTTGAAGAACGAATAAATTTGATTCTACAGAAAGCAGTATAGACATGGCGGAGTGTACAAGAGGGATAAAAAAAAAAGCGCAGATACAGCAGGAACGAGCAAGAGCAGCGATAGATAGGGAGACCAGGAGAGGAGATGAAAGCAGTTCAGAGGTGATGAGATTGCAGTGGAGAAAGTGTCAGACGAGTAGTGGGGGTAAGGGAGTGAGAACGCGCTGGGAAGAAGAGTTCAGCAGAGCGGATAACAGTAGTGGGGTTGGGAGAATAGATATATTCGTTATACACATAAAAGGCAGATCCGATTGTTCTTTGAGGAAGCACACTGGATACGAAACGTTGGCTCTGCTTTCTGTCCACTGAAGCTGCCAGACTAGCTGAGTTCCTCTAACATTTTCTGTATTTAGTTCAAGGTTCCAGTGTCCACAGTTCTTTGTTTTATGTTGGTGAATAGAGGGAATGCCAGCACAGAAAAAAGTTTCTGAAGAAGGGTCCAGACCCGAAACGTCAGCTTTCCTGCTCCTCTGATGCTGCTTGGCCTGCTGTGTTCATCCAGCTCCACACCTTATCTCAGATTCTCCGGCATCGGCAGTTCTTACTATCTCTAAATCTATTATCCCTGTGTGCTGGTTTGAAAGAGCAGTTGGGACTGGTTTGGTGGGGGGTAACGTGTTTACCAATGTAAACAGTGGGTAATAAAGTGGCCACATCATTACCAATTGAGCACTCGCTAGCATCGTCTGTACAGTCAGTGTTTAGAACCTCTCACACGCCTTCCCTTTTCTCTTTCACTCCCTCTCTCCGCCTGTTTTGTTCTCGAACTTTTCCACGGTTGATATTTCCAGCTCGGATGTGAAATCTCAACTGTTGCTGATTCTGGTCGACTGTTCTGTGCTTTCCATTAGTTAAAAAAATGTTACATTTAATGGCAGCGCAAGTGCTGGGAATCATCAAACATCTACAGGTGTTGGGAGCACGGGAAATGGAAACTTGTCTGTGGTGAAGTGAAATACTGGGTACGGCCAGCTATTTTGAGAAGATTTGGTTCAGATGGACTCATTGCTGAGATAGAGACATCAGCAGGGATGCCATGCAAAGTGATGAATCATGAAACTGAGTTCTAGGGTGAAATGGACAAGTTCCCATTTTTTAATGTATGAAAACTGTAGCAGTATGTTCAAGACCCGGTTGGATAGACCAGTGCGGACTCTTTCAATGTAGGGAATGTTATCGGTGATGTGAAATGTCACAGGATTTTCTTTTAAATGTTGTTAAAAGTGCTATATAAACACGTTCTGTTAACACGATTTCTGAAGAAGGGTCTAGGCCCGAAACGTCAGCCTTCCTGCACCTCTTGGCCTGCTGTGTTCATCCAGCTTTACACCTTGTTATCTCTGTTAACCATGTTGCTGTCTGTCGGCAATGCCTTTTCTACCAATCTGGACTGAAGTCCCAGCATTCCCCGCGGGGGACTGCTCCCCATCCATAAACAGGAGGGCAATGCGCAGGCGCAGTCCCGGACACAGTAAGGAGCATGCGCGGAACCGGCAAACGGCCGTCGACGGTATTTTTTGGTGTCTTCGGTCCGAAAACGATGGAAATGAGGCGGGCGGAGGGATCGACAGATCCGGCGAGGAGATTCCCTGAATATCTTGTGTGAGCTGGAACTCCCCACCCCACCGCAAAAGAAGTTATCAGTGGTCTATTTGCACGGAACGAGGGCAAGTTTTTTTTAAACTGGTGGCCTTCGCCCCAAGGATTGAGGCCGCCATCTTTATTGGACCTCGGGCTGCAGAGAGCATGCGCGGTCGCCATCTTTGTAGAGGTATTGTTCGGAATGAATGGGAGGAGTTTGCTTCCCATTGTTCAGAATGGAGACAACTTGTCCATCAGCCTTTCACATCCAACATCCTGTTCATGAGAAAGAGCGGCGGTACAGAAAGAAAAGGAAGCAAATATCCTACTTTCCAGATCCCGCGACCTCATGGCATGACTTGCGTCCCCATATCGTCTAAACATCTGTTCAGAAGACCCAGGTCAGAAGCTCGGGACCCTGAGCAGACGTTATTCTCGAATCAAGTGACTGTCGGGGGTGGGGGAGATATGTGCAGCAGGGAGCATGCACATCCTTTGCTTTGACAGGGAGTTCGAGGGGGGAGTTAATAACAGCAAATTCAAACTAGAGAAATTGTCTTCCTTGACTGAATTGCTATCCTAGACTTACAGTGATGTCATGGATGTTGTAAACTTCTTTTTCAGGATACGACATAGCGATTTACAAACAGGAAACTGAAACCAAACATCACGTCGAAGTCTGACAATCACTTACTTGAAATCATCGGCCTTTAAAAGTAAGCACTGAATTCCAGATTATTATTACCTACTGAATAAAACTTTTCCTTGCATTCTGCTAACTGGCCCTTCACCAAAAACTTCAGTGTCCCAAAATTTTTTTCTGTCCGTGAATAACTTTTACTAATCTATCACATATCAATCTCTCATAAACACATCAATTTCAGGTCTGCTGAATCTACCTCACTCCAAAACAGACAATTTCAGTTTCTCTAACAATGTAACTGAAATCTGTAATCTCTTGAGCCATTCAGGTAAATCTCTTCTGCCTCCTTTCAGGGAGCCTCCCATCATTCACAATGTGTCATGATCTTTGGTTTGCACAGACCCCGATACTCTGTTCCTGAGTGTGATGTTATTACACAGCAGCAATTACAACTGACATCACCTGCTCCCTAGGAATTTCCTCAACTGTAAGTTGTTTTAAATACTTTCCAACTGCAAGTTAGAATAGATTGTAAAATTGATGACAGTGAGACTGTTTCACTGGTGAGTATTTTTGAGAATTTACCTCCTATAAAGTTTTTCCCCAGTTACCTGTACTCTGTTATGTGAGAGGTTCTGTGGAACTATGGTGGTGTTGTTCCTTTCCTGTAAGTCCGAATCCATAACCCTCCATAGCTCTATTTCAATTCTGCTCTCCCTGATCTCTTCTCTGCCATTGACTAACCTCCTCTGTCTCTAGTGTTGGATGTCTTCTCCTTGTTTATCTTACAGCATGAAAACAGACCCTTCGTTCTGATGCCGACCATAATTCCAAACTAAACCATTCCCACGTACATGCGCTTGGCTCATGTTCCTCCAAACATTTCTTATTCATGTGCTTATCTAAGTGTCTTTTAAACGTTGTAACTGTACCTGCATCCACCACTTTCTCTGGAAGTTAATTCCATTCCCAAACCTGTGTTTTTTTTTTTAAAAAGCCCCTCAAGTCTTTTTAAAATTTTTCTCCTCTCACCTTAAAAAAATGCCCCTTAGTCTTGAAATCCCCCACCCTAGGGAAAAGACATCTGCCATTCACCTTATCTGTACCTGTCATTATTTTGTAAGCCTCTCTAAGGTCATCCCTTAACCTCCTACACTCCAGTGAAAAAAGTCTCAGCCTATCCAGCTCTCCTTATAACCGAAATCCTCCATTCCTGGCAATATCCTGGTCAATCTCTTCTGAACCCTTTCCAGCTTAATAATATCCTACCTATAACAGGGAGACCAGAACTGGACACAGTACTCCAGAAGGTACCTAAGATGGTGCTGTAAGTGGCAGCTTGCAAACTTTTCACTATAGTCATGTGAGTGAGTACATCTGACAATAAAAGCTAATTCTAATTCTAATTCAACCTTTAACATAATGTCCCTATATCCAGTGAGCAATGAAGGCAAGCATACCAAATACCTTCTTAACCACCCTATCTATACATAATGCAAATTTCAAAGAATTGTGAACCTGAACCCCTAGCTCTCTCTGTTCTACAACATTGCCCAAGGCCCTACGTTTAATTGGATAAATCTTGCCTTTGTTTGTTTTACCAAAATGCAATACCTCACATTTTTCCAAATTAAACTCCATCTGCCACTCTTCAGCCCATTGACCAAATTGAACAAGATATCTTTGTAATGTTAAGTAACCTTCTTCACTGTCGACTATACCACCACTCTTGGTGTTGTCTGCAAAATATGCTTTCTGTATTCTTTTCTAAATCATTTATATAAATGACAAACAAAATTGGACCCAGCACCAAGCCCTCTGGGACACTGCTGGTCACAGGCCTCCAGTCCATTACCTCTGTTGCTATTAAGCCAATTTTATATCCAATTGGCAGCAGCTCACCCTGTGATTCCATGTGAATCTAACTTTTTACTAATTAGTGTACCAGGCAGAAACTTGTCAAAGGCTTTCCTGAAGTCCAAGAAAACAGTGTCTGCCGCTCTGCCCTTACCAATTTGCTTGGTTACTTCCTCAAAAAACTCAATCAAGTTTGTGAGACACTACTTCCCTCACGCACAACCATGCTGAATATCTCTAATTATTCCTTGTTCTCCAAATGTATAAAAATCCTTTCTTTCAGAATCATTTCCAACAAGGGAGGTAAAAGGGGTAGGGGGTGTTGCATTACTGGTAAAGGAGAATCTCACAGCTGTCCTGAGGGAGGATATATCAGAGGACTTGTGCAGTAAGGCAATATGGGTAGAACTCGGGAATAGGAAAGGTGAAATCACAATGCTGGGGGTATACTACAGGCATCCCAACAGCCAGCAGGAGTTAGAGGAGAGAATATGTAGACAGATTTTTGGAAAGATGTAAAACAGCAGGGTTATTGTGTTGGGTGATTTTTAACTGGGACTCGCTCTGTTATAGGAGCTTGGATGGGGCAGAATTTGTAAGGACCATTCAGGAGGGAAACTTGATGCAATATGTAAACAGTCCAACCAGCGAAAGGGTTATGCTGGACCTGGTTTTGGGAAATGAGCTTGGCAGGTGAGTGAAGTTTCAGGATTAGTGACCATAATATACTTTTAAGATACTTCTGGATAAGGATAACAGCAGTCCTCAGGTGAAGGTGTTACATTGGGGGAAGGTGAACTACAACAATATTAGGATTGGAAGCACCTTTTTAAGGATAAATCTACATCGGGCAAGCGGGAATGTTTCAAGTGGCACTTGGTAAGAATTCTGTGAGAGTGAAGGATAGGTATGGCAAGTTACGTGAACCTTGGATGACCAGGGATGTTAGGACCTTGGTCAGAAAGCATAAGGAAGCATACGTAAGGTCTAGGAGGATGGGAACTGATGAAGCCCTTCAAGTATATAGGAGAGTGGGAAATAACTTAAGTAATGAATTAGAAGAGCTAAAAGGGGTCATGAAAAGGTGTCCTTAGCAAACAGGATTTAGGAGAATCCCATGGCTTTTAATACATATATAACAAGCAAGAAGGTACCCAGGGAAAGGGTTGGCCCACTCAAGGACAAAGGAGGGAATCTGTGTGTGGAACCAGAAGAGGTGGGTGAGGTCCTAAACGAATACTTTGCATTGGTATTCACCAAAGAGAAGGAATTGATGGAGGATGATGTCAGGGAAGGGAGTGCCAAGTTTCTTAGCCAAGTTGGTATTAAAAAGGAAGAGGTGTTGTGCATCTTAAAATGTCTTAAGGTGGTTAAGTCCCCAGGCCCTGATGGTATCTATCCCAGAATATTGAGGGAGGCAAGAGAACAAATTATTGGAGCATTGACAGACATCTTTGTGTCCTCTTTGGCCAGAGGTGAGGTCCCAAGATCTGGAGAATAGCCAATGTTGTCCCATTGTTTAAGAAGGGTAGCAAGCATGATCCTGGAAATTACAGGCCTGTTAGTCTCACTTCGGTGGTAGAGAAATTATTGGAAATGATTCTCTGGGACAAGATCTGTACGTATTTGGAACCAAATGGACTTGATAGTGATAGGCAGGATGGTTTTGTGCGGGCGAGGTCGTGACTCACTAACTTGATCGAGTTTTTTTTTTGAGGAGGTGACAAAGATGATTAATGGAAAAGCGGTTGATGTTGTCTACATGGACTTCAGTAAAGCCTTTAACAAGATCCCTCATGGCAGACTGGTACAAAAGGTGAAGTCACATGGTAGTCACAGTTTGCACGTTCTCCCCACGTCTGCGTGGGTTTCCTCCGGGTACTCCGGTTTCCTCCCACAGTCCAAAGATGTGCAGGCTAGGTGGATTGGCCAAGCTAAATTGCCCATGGTGTTCAGGGATGTGTAGATTAGGTGGGTTATAGGGGGATGCGTCTGGGTGGGATGCTCTGAGGGTTGGTGTGGACTTGTTGGGTCAAAGGGCCTGTTTCCACACTGTAGGGATTCTATGATATTGATCGGTTGGAGGCATGGGCAGAAAAATGGCAGGTGGAATTTAATCCGGACACATGTGAAATGATGCATTTTGGAAGGTCAAGTACAGGTAGAAATTATACAGTGAATAGCAGAACCCTTAAGAATATTGATATGTAGAGGGATCTGAGTGTGCGGGTCCACAGATCACTGAAAGTGGCAACGCAGGTAGACAAGGTAGTTTTGAAAAAAAGGCTTCTAGCATGCTTGTCTTCATTGGAAGGAGCATAAGGATAGACAAGTTACACTGCAGCTTTATAGAACTTCAGTTAGGCCACACTTGGAATATGTGCACAGTTCTGGTCACCACGCTATCAGAAGAGGGTACAGAGAAGGTTTACCAGGATGTTGTCTGGTATGAGGGATTTTTAGCTATGAAGAAAGGTTGGCTAGACTGGGTTTGTTTTCACTGGAACGTAGGAGGTTGAGGGGCAACCTAATATACATAATAAGATTGTGAATGACATGGATAGAGTGAAAAGTATGAGGCTTTTTCCCTGGGTGGAGGAGTCAATTACTAGGGGACGCAGGTTTAAGGTGCAAGGTGGGGGCAAAGTTTAAAAGAGATGTCCAAGGCAATTTTTTCACACAAAGGGTGGTGAGTGCCTGAAACACGTTGCCAGAGGAGGTTGTGGAAGCAGACACAATAGCTGCATTCAAGAAGTACCTGGACGAATACATGAAAAGGAAGGGAACAGAGGGATATGTATCACGTAAGTGAAAACAGTTTCAGTATGCAAGGACAAAATGTTGCAGCGCAGGCTTAGAGGGCCGAAGGGCCTGTTCCTGTGATGTATTGTTCTTTGTTCTTTGTTCTTTCGTCTAACTTACCCAACACTGAAGTCCGATTCACAGGTCTATAGTTCCCAGGCTTCTCTTTACATTCTTACATTTCACTGTTACTTCTGCCTACAGTGACTAAACGAGGTTTGCCTTCTGCCCGTTACCTGACTATGTTCTGCTGTATTACCAGCTATGCACAGGCAGAAGGGTTTTCTATGATCTCGGGATGAGCGGGAGGTTGTAATGTAGGAGGACTGCCTGGAATGTGTTAAGGTAGCTAAGTCGAGAGATAACAAAGGAGTGGATAAGAGTTTCAGTGGCTAATGAGCTGAGACTGGGGTGGATTCAGGTGATGCTACTGGGATGGAAATAGTTGGTCTTGGTGATGTTGGGGATGTGTGGTTGGAAGCTGCGATAGGGTTAGCACCTTACTGTGAAATATTCCACTTGAGTTGTGAACCAGTCTGGTTCAGTTTCGCACAGTTACCAGAGAGGTAGTTAGTGGTGAGCGAATGAAGACACTGGCTTCAGTCTTCATAATATTTACATGGAGGAAGTTTCTGTGCATCCATTACTGGATGTCAGACAAGTCAGGACAGTATGTGACTGGAAAATGATAGTGTTCACATACATCTGCTACCCTGGGCCTGTAGCTAGTGGAAGTTTGTTAGTGGTTTGGAAGATTCTTTTAGAATTCTGATCGTTAAAGTCATATTGCTCTCCTTTACCACCTGCCTCTCCCTTTCTGTTTTTCTCCCACAGAGGCCAGAGTCTTGTGTAGGTGTGGACTGAATGTGGATGATGTGCTCAAGTTGTAGACAGTATAAAGTCCTTCACTCTCTGTCTCTCCCAAATCACTTTGGAACCCCCCACCGCTGCCTCAATAGAAATCAGAATTTTGTATAGGACCAAACCAAGTTCCCTTCCCTGAAGAACAGTCATGAACCAGCTGGATTTTTATGACAATGCTGCAGCTTTCGTGATAACTACACCCCCGTACCACCCCACACCAGATTCATTCAGCTTAATTCCCAACTTTTGTGTTTTTGTGTGTTCTCTAATACATTTTTTTTTTCTGTTTTAAACAATTTTCACAGGATATTAGAAGGTTGGGATTTGCAGTCAGGTAACTCAAACCAATGTTGTGATACAGTCACCCAATTTGGCTTAACCTGAATATCATTGGATTTTGAATATGGAAGGACACAGCACCATTCCCAGTGGTGAGAAACCGTATACGTGTTCTGCATGTGGAAAAAGCTTTGCTGATTCATCCTACCTGTTAGCACACCAGCGAGTTCACACTGGGGAGAAACCATTCAACTGCTCCCAGTGTGGAAAGGGATTCACTTGGTCATCCAGCCTGCTGAGGCATCTGCGAATCCACAGTGGAGTGAAACCATTCACCTGCACTGAGTGTGGGAAGGGATTCACTCAGTCATCCCATCTGCTGATTCACCAGCGAGTTCACACTGGAGAGAGACCATTTATCTGCTCTGAGTGTGGGAAGGGATTCACTCAGTCATCCCATCTGCTGATACACCAGCGAGTTCACACTGGAGAGAGACCATTCATTTGCTCCATGTGTGGAAAAGGATTCACTCATTCATCCAAACTTCTGGAACATCAGCGAATTCACACTGGGGAGAAACCATTCACCTGCTCCGATTGTGGAAAGGGATTCACTCAGTCAACACATTTGCTGATACACCAGCGAGTTCACACTGGAGAGAAGCCATTCACTTGCTCCATGTGTGGAAAGGGATTCACTCGGTCATCCAAACTGTTAGTACACCAGCGAGTTCACAAGAACCGCAGTTGAATGGTTTTGCTCTAACTCAAACCAAGGAATGAACAGTGGTTATTGGGCAGTTTGTACTGATCTCATTAAACCCTGCTTGACCGAAGATGCTGATTTAGCAGTTGAAATTTTGACACCATTGTGTGTTTATAGGTTAGGTTTTGGAAATGGTCCCAAATCGCTGTACATCAATACATTCACACTGGGTAGAGACTGTCCACCTGCATAGTGTGAGAAACTGGATTTTCTGGTTCTTCAGGACTGGTTTAACATCAATAAGTTTCCAAGTAACTGTAGGGGTTGGAATTTGATACTATTGACATTCATCTCCAAAACCATGTTTTCTGGGGTCCGTAGATGTGAGGCTGGAAGAGCACAGCGGGTCAGACAGCAGAGGAGCATGAAAGTCAATGTTTTCGGCCAAAACACTTCATTAGGACTGGCTTCCAGCATTTGCACTTTTTATTGTCCCCGTGTTTTCTGGGGTCTGTTTCTGATGTTTGTAAACACCATAGGTCCAGTTATCTGTTTGAATAAAAGTAATATAAATGAGTTTCCTGTTAAAACTATAATGCATCAAGTCACTATCATATCTCTCAGGCAGATCAGTTTCTTTTAAAGGGCTCTCCGTCTCCCCTGTATCTTCCATCCTCACCTCCAACAGCAATAAGTGCAAGGAACTACCTGAAATTTCTTTGTCACAAAGAATGAGATAATGGGTATACTTCGCACTAGCAGTTGGGAGATGATGCTTCCATAGTGCGTGGGTGTGTGCATACGTGTGTGTAAGGGAAGAGACACTCTTTGTTTTTTCTCTTGAATATGTTTATAGGTTGTTTTTCAACATTATGGTATGTAAGGCAATACTGTTCAGCTTCAACTGAGCAGAGAGGAAGGTTTCCTAGTTTAACACCTGCCCCTTCAGGGTACTGATTATTGGGGAAATAAATAAAAGCAGTGATATCACAGGAAAGAGGTGCATTGATTCGTTTGTGATTTTTAAAAAAGTGTTTCTTGTGGAAGATGATATTAATTGAGAAACATAGTAATAAGTGAAACTCAGGGCTATTCCAGTAAAAGTAGCAAAGAAGACAAAGGAAATGACAGTTAACATAAAGAATGTAACTTAATAGTGTTCTTACATGAGCATGATAATAATTATTAGAAAAAAGAGTAATTTCAAAGAAATCAAAGAAGCAGATCTCACACACATGATGTGCTTCTCCTTGCTATGTTGCAAATCAGTTGTCCCTGGTGACCCAATGTGCAGGAACTGTGTCTAGTTGCAGCTACTGGTGAGCCTCTTTTCAGAGCTGGCGCTGCAGGGGAATTCACTGGAGCATCTGCAATGCTGAGCAAGTGTGGATAGCACATTCAGTGAGGTGGTCACATCGCAGGTGCAAATTGAATGGGCACGGGTGACCACCAGCCACTGTAGAGGAAGGCAGTTAGAGCAGTTGTGCCCATCTTTGGGGAGATGACTTTGCAGGGGAAAGCAGTAGCAGCTAACTTCATGGTGCCATGGGTGGGTTTGCTGTACAAGAGAGGAGGAGAAAGAATGGCAGGATGACAGTGGTAGGGGATGTGTAAAGTCATACAGCATGGAAACAGACCCTTCGGTCCAATAAGTCAATGCTGACCAGGTTTCCCAATCTAAACTAGTCCCATTTGCCTGTGTTTAGCCCTTGTCCCTCCAAACCTTTCCTATTTATGTACCTGTCCAAATGTCTTTTAAATGTTGTGACTGCACCCACCTGTGCGACATTCCCCTGGCAGGTCATTCCTTATACACAGCTCCCTCTGTGTGAAGAGGTTGCCTGTCAGATTCTTGTAAATCTTTCTCTCTCACCTTTTAAACCCACACTTTTTTAGATTTGAAATCCCCTATCCTAGGGAAAAGGTCTTTGCTATTCATATTATCTGTGCCAGTCATAATGTTTATAAAGATCATAAGGTCAACCGTTAACCTCTTTCACTCCAGGAAGAACGTCCCAGCCTATCCAGCCTCTCCTTCTAACTCAAACCTTCTAGTCCCGGTGATATCCTTGGAAACCTTTTCTGCACACTGCTCAATCTAATAGCATCCTTCCTGTAGCAGGGTGACTAGAACAGTGCTCCAAAAAGTGGTCTCACCAATATCCTGTGCAGCTGCAACACGATGTCCCAACTCCAATACCTGATGCTCTGACTAATGAAGACAAACATGCCAAATTTCTAGTTAATCATCCTGTGTTATTAGTTCAAGGAACTAAAATGTACCTGAACCCGCAGGTTACCATTAACTGTGTAAGACCTGCCCTAGTTTGTCTTACCAAAATGCAACGCCTCACATTTATCTAAATTAAACTGCATTTGCCCCTGCTTGGCCCATTGGCCTAGCTGATTAAGATCCCATTATACTCCTTAGATAACCTTATTCACTGTCCACTATGCCATCAATTTTGGTGTCATTCACAAACTTACTAACTGTGCTTCCTATATTCTCATCCACATCATTTAGATAAATGACAAACAACAGTGGATCCAGCACTCCTGGGATGGGTACAGTAACAAGTTAAGTACAGAGCAAAGCTCACCTCTTTTAAAACAGAGAAGTAAAAAGTTTCTCCAAGTCTCGAAAAAAGTTCCAGTGACTCGAAGATGAAACCAAATAAACAAACAAACAAACAAAAAAATGGCTTTCCTCAACTCTGTCCCTACCAACCACTCTTGGGGCAGAGACGATAAGCGGTCAAAATGTGAAATAAACGTTCCTTGACTCAGTCAAATGCAAAGGAAAATAAAAAACTCTAACAATTGCTCCTGGGACAGAGATAATGATGGCCTAAAGATCAGAGGGAAAAGGCACCTCTATCCATTGCAGATGAAAATTAAATCAAAAACTAACTCAAACTCAAACGGAAACTTGTACTATGGAAGCGACAAAAAAAATTAACTAAATCAGATTGTTGTTAGCCCGGCTGAAAGTGTACTCCAGCACCTGTAGGGCCCATTGGTCATGAAAGGCCTCCATTGTATCAGCGAGCACCACATGCTCCTGCTCCAGGGACACCCAAGCACAGGGGTAACCACGAAAGAGAGGTGGACAGTCAGAAACGACAAGCTCCTCCTTGGCCCGCTGACTGGACAGGTCCAGAGCAAAGCCACGAGAAGGCTTGTCTGCCCCCTCCCTGCATTGGGTGTCTATCAATCAGGAGTGTAGGGCTGAAGTGAAACAAAAATTTTAATAGCAGCCCCCTCAAAAAAACTACAGAGGCTGCAACTGGATGCACCTAACATAAACATGAGACACTGCCTCCTTCAGGCCACAGAATGTGTACATGGTCTGGTACCTGGCAAATTTGCTTAATTGCCAGTTGCACGGACCGTCATGTGCAGCACTCTCGACCCGAGATCGCCAATGAAAGGGAGGAAACCACTTTGTAGAGAACCCTCCATTGGGAATCTCCACCAGAGGGCAGAATGTCACACTAAAGGTGTGTCTGAGCAAAGGTGCAGCAGTGGAGTGTATGCAGCATACCCTGAAAGGACCACTTCCGACCCAGGCCCTTGTGGGGAAAAAAAGCCAACAGCTGCTTACACAAGAGGGGCACAGGAGTGGCTCCACATGGAAAACAAAGCTGGCCAGAGAGGGGACAGCCCTAATACAGACCTCTCTCAAAGCACAGGGGCACTGTCAGGGACGTATTAATGTTCACTAGGCACTCTGTGGTTGTGTACAAAAGTCAGATGAGGTGCCAAAGTATGTCCTTGACGTGAAAGCTCACAGGGTCCCAAGCAGATATTCATAATTCACTCTGTCAAATGCCTTTTCCTAATCAAGGGGGAGAAAAAATTTACCAGGATGTTGCCTGCTGTGGAGGGCATTAGCTATGAGGAGAGGTTGGAGAAACTTTGGGTTATTCTCACTGGAACGACGGAGGTTGAAGGGCGACCTGATAGAGGTCTACAAGATTATGAAGGGCATGAACAGAGTGGACAGCCAGAAGCTTTTTCCCAGGGTGGAAGAGCCATGGGTTTAAAGGTGCGAGGTTTAAAGGTTACGTACGAGGCAGGTTTTTTACACAGAGGATGGTGGGTGCCTGTAACTCGCTGCTGGGGGGAGGTAGTGGAAGCAGATACGATAGGGCATCTTGACAAATACATGAATAGGATGGGAATAGAGGGATAAGGTCCCCAGAAGGGCAGGGTGTTTTAGTTGTGACAGGCAGCATGTTGGAAGGCCAAAGGGCCTGTTCCTGTAATGTAATTTTCTTTGTTCTTTGTTCTTGTTCTAAAAGGCACTCAACAAGTCAGCCCTGTGGGAATAATGGATCATGTCCCAGAGCACATGGATGTTGTCATGGATACTCCAGCCTGGGATGGTATAAGGCTGGTCTGGGTCCAGCACGGTGCCAAGGTGAGTTAAAAGTGCCCCGGCAGGGGTCTTGTAGTCCGTGCTGAGAAGAGACACTGGATGCCAATGCTTTAAAATCCAATATCCCAGTGATGACTGCCTGCGCCAAGGAAGGGCCATCTCTCCAGTCGCATTAGATTCTTCCAGGGCCTGCGCATCATCACCCCTCATGAAGAACTCCATGGTCAGTTCATCCAACCCTGTGGACCTGCCCCTGGAAAGACAGAGGGGTGCCAGCCAGCTCCTCCAAACTCAGAGGGGGGGGGTCGAGCCTCTTGGTGCCCTCAGGGCTGACCCATGGCAGGTCCTACAGCAGAACTTTGTGAGCTTCTTTGCTGGACAGATCCAGAAAGAAGGCAGCTGCGTAGTAATCCCTCACTTGGGGCCCTCATGCCCTCCAGATCGGAGATGGGGGATCCATCATTGGCCAGCAGCGCAAGGAGCTGCTGGCAGGCCCCATGCCTTTTTTCTCCCCCCAGTGAGCTGAAGATGGAGGAAGCCACGGTCAAGATCCCCGAGGAACTGGAGCCGCCATCTCACGTACGGACCCCGGGACCCTATGAGATGCAGACCATGGAGCACAGCCTTCTTTCTCCTTGTACGC